ATGACTACATATTGAAAAAAAAAAAAAAAAAAAACAGCCAGGTGAGAGACTGGAGTAGGAGTAGAGAAATGGATCTCTTGGATAATTCCAAAAAAGTCCCCTAATTCCTCATTCTTCACCGATGCAGGTAAGATTTCTTTTTTTTCCTTTTCCTTTTTTTTGGAGACAGGGTCTTGCTCTGTCACCCAGGCTGGAGTGCAATGGTACAATCACAGCTCACTGCAGCTTCAACCTGCCAGATTCAAGTGATCCTCCCACCTCAAGACTCCCAAGTAACTGGGACTACAGGCAAACATCACCACACCTGGCTGATTTTTGTATTTTTTGTAGAGAGTGTCCCACTATGTTGCCCAGGCTGGTCTTGAACTCCTGAGCTCAAGTGATCGCCCACCTTGGGCTCCCAAAGTGCTGGGCTTACAGGCATAAGCCACTGTGCCTAGCTACAGACAAGACTTCTATGGAATGTTAGGAAAGCTGGATTTGAGGATGATCTTGTGTCAGGAGGACCTGAAATGGTGACAGCCAGTTTCTGTCTCACTGTCAAAGCTGTAGCTTCTGGTCAAGCATGGTGGCTCATGCCTATAATCTCAGCACTTTGGAAAGCCAAGGTGGGCAGATCACTTGAGGCCAAGAGTTTGAGACCAGCCTCGCCAACATGGTGAAACCCCATTTCTACAAAAATACAAAAATTAGCTGAGTGTGGTGATACATGCCTATAGTCCCAGCTACTAAGGAGGCTAAGGCACAAGAATCGATTGAACCCAGGAAGTGGAGACTGCAGTGAGCCAAGATTGTGCCACTGCACTCCAGCCTGGGCAACAGAGCAAAACTCTGTCGCTGATATCTGGGATAATTTGTAAAAATCTCAAGTGTCTTTGTTCTTTGCCAGTTAGCAGGAAAAGCTTGTCCTTGCAGTAGTTCTGTGGCATTCTCACTCCCCAGAGCATCTGAATAAAGCCAGAAGGACCTTCTTATTGATCTGAGTATATTTTTGCCCTGAGAAAATTCTCTCAGAGACCTGTGCCATCCCAAATCAAGTGATTTAACTTCACCATCTTTTAGCCAACCAGGTGACTTTTCTTGACACTGTCTCCTCCCAAATTAACCACACATGTGGGCCCACACAAACAACCTCCAGAGCCCCCTTTCCTTCAGAGGGAATGGCCACCCCTCCCTATGGGGCAGCTAGCTCAGGGACGGTTTAGCAAGTCTTGAGGCTGTGCCAGTGAAAAAGCCTTGAGAAATTTTGAAAAATACAGGTTCTTCTTCAGCCCTTTATGCAAATCTCCTCTGAAGTAACAGCACCAACAGGCTTACTAGGTTGTCAGGAAGCCTTAAAATTGTTGTTTTAAGCTCCTCAAGCTAAAGCCAATGCTAAAGCTTGCTCCCCTGTAGAGGAGGATGGGCAGACCCTCCGGAGGAAATATGACCTGTGTTTTTCAGTCTCTTTTCCAAACAAGGATAATTCCTTTCACTCACCAGAAAGAGCAGCTGCACCCAAGATTGCAGTGATCTGTGCCCTAGGGGCAAAACAATCACTCTTTGCTGCCACCAACCCACACTCATCCCCAATCAGGCCCTATTCAGGGGTAGGCTCATAATTTTCCATCGCCTTGGTCGAGGTGGTGGCTCATGCCTGTAGTCACAGTGCTTTGGGAGGCCAAGGAAGGTGTATCCCTTGAGGCCAAGAATTTGAGACCAGCCTGGGCAACAGAGACAGACCAACAAATGAAGAAGGAGAAGGAGAAGGAGAAGGGGAAGAAGAAGGTGGAGGAGGAGGAGGAGGAAGAGGGAACAAGAAGTGGAAGAAGAAGAAGGAGGGGGGAGGAAGAGGAGAGGGGAAGGAAGGGGGGGAGGAGGAGGGAGGAAGAGAGGGGGGAGGAGGAGACAGGGAGGAGGAGGAAGAGGAGGAGGAGGAGGACTACAACGAGGAGGAGGAGGACGAGGAGAAGGAGAAGAAGAAGAAGGAGAGTGAATTTTCCATCACCCTGTGGGTCTCAGGAGTGAGGCCCAGCTCTGCCACCTATTTGCTGTGTGATCCTAGGGGCCAGTCACTTCCTCTCTCCAAGCCTCAGTAAAACTACATGGAAGGGCATTTGCGTGGGTTTTGTGGTTGTCGTTTGCACTCCAATTTGCAAATGACTCACATCCTTTCAAGAAAGGTAGTTTGGAGAGTAGAACGGTCTAGAAGTCTGGTGTGTGTGGACCAAGAAGGAGCAGCTGGGAGAGGAGCCTCAGAGGCTCAAGCAGCGCGCACTTGCGGCCGAGGTTTCAGGGGACACGGCCAGCAGGGGGTGCTGCCCAGAGACCTCGCGCTCCGGAGGCGCGCGCCGTGGGAGACCGCAGTCGGCTACGTCAGCAGGCAATGGCCTTGAAGCGTCGGTCTGAGCTACCCAGGGAGACTGTGAATCTCCAACAGGAAACCGCGAGTGCCTAGCAGCCCCCCTCCCCACCTTTCCTGAGGAAGCCTGGTCCGAGCGAGCCAGTGAGCAACTCTATGCAAAGCGTGCGAGCACCGGGGACTGCGCACAAGGGTGAGTGCAGGGTGTCAGCCCCCAGGTGGGGGCTGCAGGGACCCCACCTCCTTCTGAGCAGGCGCGCGGTTGGAATTGGCCAGGACAGAACATCAAGTGGAAAAACACAATTACAACAGAGGAGAGAAGGCGTTTCGATAATAACAACAATGATTTATTTCTGTATTTCGTCTCTTTCCCCTTCTCCGCCGCATGTGCACGCCTGTTTATATGCAGAGAAAAGTTTAGTAGGACACATAAGCCAGCAGTTACCAATGCTTATCAATGTGTCATAAAACTGTAGGTCTATTTATTTATTTATTTTTTATGAGACAGTCTCGGCTCAGGCTGGAGTGCAGTGGCGCAATCATTGCTCACTGCACTTGAGCTCCTAGGCTCAATAGATCCTCCTGCCTCAGCTTCCCAAGTAGCTGGGACTACAGGTACACGCCACCACAGCCCAGCTGGATCTCACATTCTTTATTTTTCCATTTATTTCATTATTTACTTTTCTTGTATTTTATATTTTATTATTTTTATTTTCTTTTTTTCTGAAGTGAGAACAAAACTCTTCTTATATTTTTAAATTATTTTTTTTTTTACTAACTTATTTATTTATTTAATAGAGACATGGTCTTGCTATGTTACCAGGGCTGGTTTTGAACTCCTGGGCTCAATCCCAGGAACTCCTGGGATTACAAGCGTGAGCCACTACTCTGGTACTACTAATTTATTTTTTTTTAAATAGAGACAGAGTCTCACTCTGTTGCCTGGAGTTGGTCTCAAACTCCTGGGCTCAAGCAATCCTCTGGCCTCAGACTCTGAAAGTGCTGGGATCACAGGCGTGAGCCACCGCATCTGGCCTACTTTTCTTATTTTTAAGAACATATATTTAACAATCAGGAACAATCCAATAAAGTCTGCATTACACACTTACACATAGGAGTGGGAGGGAAGACACAGCACAGCCCGCTTTCTGGGGCAAAGCAGGGAGCAGGGCAGAGGTCAGAGCGCAGCTGTACCCACCCTGCAGAGAGGATTGGAGGCGCCGCCCTTGTAGATGGAAAATCAGGGAAGGCTTTCGAGAGGAATCTGAAGGAAGTTAGGGAGTGAATCCTCATGGAATCTGAGAGAGAACATTGTATTCCATGGAGAGAAAACAGCAGGGGCAAAGGTCCTGGCCTTGTGGGTGAAAAGAAGGGCTTGGGTTTTAAGGCCAGGGCTGCCTGCCCTGTCTCCAACCCTTGGGCCAGGGCTAGAAAGTTCTTGAGAGGGCATCTCCCTCCTGCTTTCCTAAAGTGTGCTCCCTGGAACACGATCCCACAAAATGTTCTGAGAGAAAAGAACCACAGCCTGTTGAAGAATATTCAGGAGACTGGAGAGACCAATGGGTGAAACAGGAGGATTTTATCGAGGTGCACCGGCTCAGTGGATTCGCATCTGAAAACTGAGCAAAGAACAAAGAAAATGGGGTACTTTTTATACATTCAGGATGATGTAGCAGCTAACAGGTTTACAGAAGCCAGAATGAAGAACAATATGTCTTGTGATATATGTTACATTTGAAAAATAAGCATTTTGAGAAACACATTGTACATTCTTTGGGTGTTATCTTGCCCGGTGACCTTGCAGCTGGTCAGCAAGAAAAACAGAACTTTTGAGGTGCCTGGGAACCTTGCTGAGAATGTGGGGAGAATAAATAAGGTAGGTTTTACAGGGAGTTAGTTAACTTTAAGCATAGCTTGGGGGTAGGTTTTATATTGAACACAGCACAGTAAACTTTATTATGCAGCAATTACAGACTACTATTGTTATTATTTAATTTCCCTCTTCAAGCCCACCATTGAAAGAGACTCAGAATGCACAATGTACATAGTCAAGGGTCCAAAATTGTGCAGTAAAAGGAAGCCATCCAGTTTTATTGCAGCAATTCCAGATGGTTCCCCATGAACCTCCTCTTTGCTGTAGAAACTAGTCATATCTGGCTGTATCCATGTACTTTGTGAGACACTCTTCTTTTTCTTTTCTTTTCTTTTTTTTTTTTTTGAGATGGGGTCTTACTCTGTCACCCAGGCTAGAGTGCAGTGGCTCGATCTTGGCTCACTGCAACCTTTGCCTCCTGGATTCAAGTGATTCTCCTGACTCAGCCTCTGAGTAGCTGGGATTGCAGGCATGCACCACCATGCTCAGCTAATTTTGTATTTTTTTAGTAGAGACACGGTTTCTCCATGTTGGTCGGGCTGGTC